GATATATATATATTATAATTATAATATATTGTTGTTGCAAGTGTTGCTGTCTCAAGCGACTTTTTTACCTTTCCACAACGCTGGGCTCCCACACCAACACGTCGGTTGGACGTTTTAGAAACTTCTCGAACGCAGGTGACCTGGATGCCATGGAGAACGAGTACCCTGAGTACCCTCTGCATGGAGAAACATGGGAAATCCCCATTGCAATGGAGGTTTCGATATTTTCAATGGGAAAATTACATAAAATTACCTATGAATGGGCTTTTGGATGCTTTTGGAAGGAAGGGGAACCAATCAAAGGACAATAGCACGACAAGCCATGACAAGCCGATCTTTTACGACATGGCACGCATCAGAGTTGACATGTCTTCGTCAGGATTTGCAATGGTCCAATAGTCCAGTTGATAACGTGAAGACCTTACGGAGCTTCCTCAACACGACTTGAATTCAATATGAGGACTCGCTGCCTAGGGTTTGCCACCTCTACTTTGAAATTTCTGACCTTGTTAAGGTTCGAAGAGAGAGGGGAAAGGCTGTAGGTCAACTCACAAGAACATCTGGCAGTTTCTGGGTGTTTTATTCTTGGAATTGTACTTGATCGAAGTTCTTGGCAAATCTGATACACAACTGGGCGCTGGATGGCGCCATGTTTGTACGCAAGTTTTATAGCCAGAGTACCCTTGCTTAATGAACTATGGGTTGGTAGAGAAGTCCTTTTGGCGAGCAAGACATTTTTGAACATGCAAGGCATCTTTCTGTTGATGCAAAGAAATGTCCTTCAAGATGTCTCAAATGATTGCCAATTTCTTTGGGTCATGTGACATGTGTCTCTTGTTGTCTTTTTACCCTGTGTTTGACGAGTATTGCATTTATCTATCGTAAGGTTGTTCTGGAAGAGAAAAAAACATGAAAAAACTTGAATCCAGGGAAGGGGGTGTATCTCACGAGCTTGTTTATCTTTTTCTGGGTGGAACAAAAACGGTGCAATTCTTCAAAGCAGGGTGTTTTGTGTAAAATAGGTTGAGGTCGAAAGAAAGATGCTGTGTTTTCAAACATGCAGAATTTGATGATGAAAATAATGATTGAAGGGACAACTTGTTGTGATACAATCTTCATTTCATCTTTAATAAACTATATAGTAGTCAAAACATGGAAAATCAAAACGTGTTGATCCAGTACTAAATCTAAGTCAATGCCATTTATCTAATTTATATCAGTTTATCTATTTAATGAGTGCCTTTAAACTGAGTGCGCACCACTACATATTGAACAACATGTTATTTTAATTTATCAGTTCTTCCGATGTGTATTCATATTCCTTTGGTCATCTTTCCGTTCTCGTCTCTTTGGGGACATGCTCTGAACAAAAAAGGATTCCCGAAAAAAAAAAAATGAATTCAGTGTTTCTCTCCTGTAGATTTAAGATGATTTAAGGATCCATTGCTCAAAGACCTAAGTGCAACTCCATCTCCTGAATTTAAAGATGCCTGTTGTTTTTAACATAATGCAACCCCATTTGCTGAATTCAAGGATGGTGGAAAATCCATCTGAATCCAAGGCTTCTTTCTCGTCTATATGATACACCAAAAGAGACAAGTATTAATCCGTGCTTCTTATGTTTTCGTTTGAAAGGTTTTGGCCTTTCAAGAAATGGAAATCCTCAAAGTCAAGTGAGGGTTGTAGTCACTTACTCCTTTGGCAAAAATGGAGCGATGCATTCCGTCGATACAAAACTACAGACTGGTGAATCTTGCAAGGTGTAGCACTGAACAGCATACACCTTATTCTCTTGTACAAACCCGGGACAACTGTTCTGGTTGCATTCCATACCTCATCCCAGCCCAGTGCAACAATTTCATCATAATTGCGCAGCAAGTAAGTGGCAGCGTGAACTGTCGCACCGATGCTGTGGTTGGTCAACCAAGACTCTTATAATTTGTTGTAACAACAGTTACACAGGGCTCTGAAGCTTCTCTCTCTCTCCAACTGCCTGGCCTCACCAAAGCCCAGAGCGTCAGATTCTGTCGCCTGCTGACCTGCAGATGACAAGCAGGGCAATGCTACGGTATGTAGTCAAGAGATGTCAAGGGTGTGTGCCAAAATGAACACAAATGATTCAGATCATGAAACCATGAAATCATATGAAATCATATGAAATCATAGGCAATGCTCAGCCCAGGCAATTAACCTTGGAATATATGGCACCTCAGCAGCCTCCAACAGGCGCGCGCGGCTGTTTGGCATGCTGCGGAGATCCATCGCCAGCAGGCCCTCAGTTTGTAGTTAAAGATACATCAACCATCATCAACCATGGCTGCCCCATGGTTCAATATACTTCAACCATCTTCAACCACGAAGTAACGTTCACAAAAAGGAAGGCTCACTGGATTCTGGGGATTCCAGCGGCAGACAAACGCTCCAGAAGCAAAGCGACAATCCACGCCTAAGCTTGAGCCGCTCAAGGCGTTGTCCCCATCCAATAATAATCATGATGATGATAATAATAATACTAATATAAATATATTAAATAATAAATATATTATATATATAATATAATATACAGTAATATAATATAATTCAATAACCATTCAAGAAAAACACTTCCATTATCTCCTGAGTTACATGACAGGTCACACCTTGTGAAATGCCGCCACTCTGAGCGCCCGAGCAGCCCAGGACCTTCTTCCGCGGCTTCGCAGCAGGGCCAAATGGATAAGTGGCCGACTGTGGTACAGCACCTCTGATCAGCAATCAGGGCCGTTCGCAAGCGCACGGACTTCGACAGGCTCATGGGATCTCATGGGTTCATATGGGTTCCGAATGATTGAAGACCCTGTTGAGATGCAAGGTCGGAACTCAGCTTTTGTCCAGACAGCAAGTGGCTGCATGGCATCTGGTCATTGCCTCAGCAGGATTGGCTATACATGCTGAGATGATTGCGAAATGTCAAATGCAGGAAAGCTCCGTGAACTACCACGTAAGCATGCCTGCACCAACCCCAATCAGGGCACATCATGGTACTGCTCAGGCAGAGAAGATGGCCTTCGTCTTAGCATAAAGGGCCTTGCCCTGAGCAGTTTTCCCGTTAACTGCACAGAATCCCTTGATGCCCAACTCCTTCCTGGCCTTCTGCAGGGCCTCAGTCCAGGCAGAGATGTAGGCGTAGGCCTTCTTGCCCTGAGCATGCTTTGCTTTGGTCACAATGCGACCATGCTTGGTCTTCATCGGGTCAGATCGAGAATGCCCTGATGCAGTCTTCTCCTTCCTGCCGAGGAAGACTGCAGCCTTTGCTCGCTTGCCGCGCGCAATCTTGCTGACTGCCTTCTTCTTCATCACAGTCTTCTTCATCGACGTTGGCTTTGCCGCCTTCTTCATTGACTTCATGGCAGACTTCATCACGGACTTCTTCATTGGAAGGGCCATGTTTGAAGAAAATGAGTCAAGGAGTTTGTCGATGCGCGAGGTGCAAGGCAGGGCAAGATGAAAGCGAGCTCGAGCCAGTGCAAAGCCAACAAGCGGTTCAGGCATTCTTGACAATCAATACACCCGAATAATGGATGGATTGGATCTGTTTGTTCAAACTTCACCACCACGCCTCATTGGGTTACTGTTCACGCCGATCCCTCAAGAACACCCCAACACTACAAATCACTGACCCTGTATCAGGCATGCCACTGACTGTGAATGTCAGGGAGCCTCTGCAACTGCAATTTGCGTACTGTGTGGTGTGCAATCCTTAGAGTCAGTGTCAAAAACGCTAGAATAGGCTGGCTAGATTGAGAGTCAGCTGTGATGGAACCTCGAGCAGCACACTTGCACCAGATTTGTCCAAAAAATGGTTTCAATTAATTAGATTTAATTAGTTTCAATTATTTTCAACGGCAACTCATCCAATCAAACGAGATTTGTCTAGCACCCAAGGCCATAAATACCGGGCTAAGTATGGTCAAAGGACACGCCGCAGGCCGTCTGCGACACCTCATGCGCGGACCAAATACAGAAAGGGCGTTGGTCAAATCGGGGAACCCTCAAGAAAATCGTTTTCTGCTAACAACAACTCACATCTATAGGTCCCAGTCTGTCATCAAACCGTTGACATACGGTGTATGTTGAGCCATACATACCCATACAGAGTCTTAGAAGTGGCCACTTTGATATGGGGAAATGATTCGAAACAATTCGAAATGATTCGAAACGATGATAAACCATGGGATTTGGGGGGGCTCCCATACCCCCTAAAATCATCTAAAATCAAACCCTGTCGCTAAGCTCCTCACGTGGCGGTGCTGGCCGTGGGGCCTCTGGCTCTGCAGAGCCACCCTCAAGGTTCTCAAGGGCTTTCAGCGAGCGCCCAGTGCGCCTGCCATAGGTCATTCGTGTTGGTGTGTATACAATCACAATTGCTGAATAATCTCAATGTGGCCTCCCAACAAAGGGCTCTGGTTTTGGCGCTGGCGCAGCACTTTCCGCATCTGCCGCCGGCTTGGGTGTTGCAGTTGAGAGATCGGAAGTGCCACCATTTTTCTGCTGAACATTCAAAATCTGTGAACTCTCCTGTGAACTGCCATGAAACGGCCATGGCATTGTTTGGAGAAGCTTCAAGCCATCTCAACAGGTTTAAGAAGATTCATGTAGCAGCCTGCAAAGGCCAACCATGTCGCTCAACTTTAGATTCTATGTAGACTCATAGCAATTGCTCTACCATTCTCTCGAAGAACTTCCAAGCTTCCCTGCTTGCTGTCTCTGAGTTGCCATTCCTCTCAAGATTCTCAAGGTGTTGATCAGTGCAAATTGGACATTTGAAGGAGAAATGCTTGCAGTGTACAATTCATGATTGGACAGTTGCACATGAACAGTCACTTCTAAAAATCTTCAAATCTTACAGCAGCACACATTCCTCTAACAATTAATTCACGAATCGAAATTGCATTTTGGATTTATCTGAACAACTCTCGATCCAGTGCTTTGCAACCTTGAATCGTTTACTAGACCAAATTGCAAAAAACATCAAAAAACTGGGAAAAGTAGCTTGCAGGTTCCGACCGTTTCACCAGCCAAGACCTGTGGGTCAGTGCTATCATGGCATTTTGCAGGAGGCACTTAGGCTGCTGCTGCTGCTGTCCAAGAAGTGCGTTGCGTTGCTGCTCCCTGGCACGATGAATGTCCACAGCGCTGAGTGAAGACATGGAAATCAGATTCGCCAAACCATCCAAGATGGTCCCCCATCCCGTCTGTGCAAAAGAACACAACCAGAGTGAATAGTGATAAACACTTTCCTTTTGGCGTGGCATCTGGTCATTGTCTCAGCAGGATTGGCTATACATGCTGAGATGATTGCGAAATGTCAAATGCAGGAAAGCTCCGTGAACTACCACGTAAGCATGCCTGCACCAACCCCAATCAGGGCACATCATGGTACTGCTCAGGCAGAGAAGATGGCCTTTGTCTTAGCATAAAGGGCCTTGCCCTGAGCAGTTTTCCCGTTAACTGCACAGAATCCCTTGATGCCCAACTCCTTCCTGGCCTTCTGCAGAGCCTCAGTCCAGGCAGAGATGTAGGCGTAGGCCTTCTTGCCCTGAGCATGCTTTGCTTTGGTCACAATGCGACCATGCTTGGTCTTCATCAGGTCAGATCGAGAATGCCCTGATGCAGTCTTCTCCTTCCTGCCGAGGAAGACTGCAGCCTTTGCTCGCTTGCCGCGCGCAATCTTGCTGACTGCCTTCTTCTTCATCACAGTCTTCTTCATCGACGTTGGCTTTGCCGCCTTCTTCATTGACTTCATGGCAGACTTCATCACGGACTTCTTCATTGGAAGGGCCATGTTTGAAGAAAATGAGTCAAGGAGCTTGTCGATGCGCGAGGTGCAAGGCAGGGCAAGATGAAAGCGAGCTCGAGCCAGTGCAAAGCCAACAAGCGGCTCAAAAGCTTTCTCCGCTGACTACGCAAAACTGGATCGGGCTATTTTGGCTGAGACTTCAAAGTCTCATCTTGTCACCAGTATCACGTTTCATCTCATTGAGTGATGCAGAAGGAAGAGAAAAGCACAACACTCTTGAGCAGCACCAACACCAAATGTGTATCTGTTTTTCAACACTGTCATTGCAATGCCACCCCAAACAGCTTAAAACACAGGACGGGATGGCAACAGCTTTGGAGGCTCCGCATCTTCAATGGCCACCTTTTGCATTGAGTCACGAGTCACGAGCATCATGAGCTGATGAGGGTGGCATCAAGCAGCCACACCTCGTCGACATAGAAGTTGAAAGGCATTTTAAGGCGCAGGAAAATCTTGAGCGCCTCAGTGTTTGGGGAGTGAAACATAGTGAAACACACCGCAAATCCACAGGAGTAATTTTCAACAGAGACAAGAAGCCCAGAGCGTCCATGATAAAGCACCTTGTTACAATGGAATATCTCCAAAACGTGTCACATGTATAATTTAAGAATGAATACTGCCTGCTACTTGGCCTGGATGCGATTTACTGGAGAAAAAGCCCCTGTCCAATCAGAACAATGTAGCAGGCTTTGCAATGACCAGACTTTTCTCCCAAAACAAGATGTCGCTGCTTTCGTCGATGTCAAACACCTGTGAACACACCAGATTCCTCAATGTCACTGCTTGAACGTTTGTACAATCACTGAAAAAAAAATACTGGGTTCATCTCTCCTGTTCTACCAGGGCCGCACACCAGCTTCACCAATTCAATGCGAGTACAAACTTGCAACGCATACTTGGAGCCTAACAGGAAGCTTGGAATCTACCCATAAGCTGACATGGTTGACCTCTAGGAAAGGGATCACGTACCACACCAATTACATCCATACGCAAACCTAGGCTCAATTCATTCAAGTCTGAGCTAGAGCTGTGACTCTTCACTTCAAGAAACCAACGAGTTAAGATGTAGACCCTTCCTATTGAAGGCATCCATTTCGATAAGCACCTGCAAGGTCAGGGAAACAGGCAGATCTGTGAATAAACAAATTTCCGTCTATCAAACCCTTGAAATCTGTCGTTCTCGTTTCACTTCAAAACCGGTTCGAAAAATTCAGGAAGATCTCCCTCCAACCACTACAGATGGTCGTGGCTCACCTGAATGGACCGGATGGCCCGCAAGGTGAAGGCCGCCAACATGTAGCCCAATCCTGGCACTGGGAATTATTGGGGAAGTCACAAGTAGCTCAAAGATGCTCAAAGAATCCGGAGCAGAAGCTCTACTCAGGCTCATTTGGTCACAGTTAGTTGTTCTGTCAAGAATTGTCAGGAGTGAAACATGATAGCACAGCTCAACCCCACAAACGTCGTCATCATCAGCAGAAACTTGTTTAAAGCCTGTGGGTACCACTGCAACTCTGGGAAAGCAGGTTGAATTGCATGGTCAAGAAACAGTTTCAAATTCAAGCCTATACAAGTGCGCCAAACCATATGAAATCAGGCCAGGGCTTACGCGCTTTTCGAAGCTCTTTGGAGGGTCCGTTCTTCACCAGGTCACCTGAAATGAAGCCGTTCAGGACTATCAGATTACAATGTGAATCAAATCATCTCCGTTTGACTTACAGATCACGCAGCCAAGAAAAGTGCGCACCTCCCTCAGCTTCGCAAACGGGAATCCTGGCATTGAGCATTTTGATGATGCGTGCATTTGTGGTTTCCTACATGTTTCTATTGTACAATTGCGAACCAGAGCCACATGTAAATTTCGCAGATCTGCTAGGGATCCCTTATGTCAAAGTATTACGATTTGTTTCTTTCTGTCAAATCATTCAGATACGGTTGTTGCAGATTGTTGCAGTGGGAAAGTCTTCAACAAAAGCTGCACTGTTCAAACGTGTAATCGCACTCTTCAGGGCTGCGAAGCACCACTGTGCGGTACCTCGTTGGATGACAGCAACAGCTGGAATTCCAAGCATTGGAAAGTTCTGATGGGATTTGTTTGCTGAATCAGTGGGTTTCCTAAGGCAAAACAAGGGCCTTTATCCGCCGACCCCTGCCGACAGCAGGGGGAGCGCGTCAGAGAAGAGATTACAAGCAACAAGTGTTGTGCAGTGCAAGTGAGGGGCAAGCGAGGGGGGGACAGAAAGGGAAGCCAGGTGCAGAGTAAGAAGCCCAAAAAAGGAAGCGAGAAAGGAGGGGCCGGACCTGTGCAGGACGCACGCCAGCTGCAAGAAGACACGGGCAAGCTAAGTTTGGAGCTCGTTTCTAGGCAGTTCAGAAGGCAACGTTTGGCACCGTGGGCACCGTGGGCTGCCGGCTGCGGGCCCAATCCGTCCTTCAGTGCCATGGTGTTTGGGCCCTGCGGAGGGGTCCTTTGACCGAACCTGTGCAGGACGCGCGCCAGCTGCGAGAGGACACGGGCAAGCTGGCAGGTGGCAGAGCCAAAGGGCGGGCAAAGTCGAAGTTTGGAGCTAGTTTCTAGGCAGTTCAGAAAGTAACGTTTGGCAGTTTGGGCTACGGGCCGCAGGCCCGGTCCGTCCTTCACTGCCATGGTGTTTTGGCCCTGCGAGGGGGTCCTTGGCCCAGAGCTGTGCAGGATGTGAAAGTTGGCAGGCAAAGTCAAGGCTTGGAGCTAGAAAAAGCAAGGTTTGAAGCTGGTTTCTACGCAGTTCAGAAAGTGACGTTTGGCAGTTTGGGCTACGGGCCGCAGGCCCGGTCCGTCCTTCACTGCCATGTATTTTGGCCCTGCGAGGGGGTCCTTGGCCCGGAGCTGTGCAGGATGAAAGCTGGCAGGCAAGGCTTGGAGCTAGAAAAGGCAAGGTTTGAAGCTAGTTTCTAGGCAGTTCAAAAAGTGACGTTTGGCAGTTTGGGGTAGGGGCCGCAGGCCCGGTCCGTCCTTCACTGCCATGGTGTTTTGGCCTTGCGAGGGGGTCCTGGGCCCAGAGCTGTGCAGGATGTGAAAGTTGGCAGGCAAAGTCAAGGCTTGGAGCTAGAAAAAGCAAAGTTTGAAGCTAGTTTCTAGGCAATTCAGAAAGTGACGTTTGGCAGTTTGGGCTACGGGCCGCAGGCCCGGTCCGTCCTTCACTGCCATGTGTTTTGGCCCTGCGAGGGGGTCCTTGGCCCAGTGCTGTGCAGGATGAAAGCTGGCAGGCAAAGTCAAGGCTTGGAGCTAGAAAAAGCAAGGTTTGAAGCTCGTTTCTAGGCAGTTCAAAAAGTGACGTTTGGCAGTTTGGGCTACGGGCCGCAGGCCCGGTCCGTCCTTCACTGCCATGGTGTTTTGGCCTTGCGAGGGGGTCCTGGGCCCAGAGCTGTGCAGGATGTGAAAGTTGGCAGGCAAAGTCAAGGCTTGGAGCAGAAAAAGGAAAGTTTGAAGCTAGTTTCTAGGCAGTTCAGAAAGTGACGTTTGGCAGTTTGGGGTAGGGGCCGCAGGCCCGGTCCGTCCTTCACTGCCATGGTGTTTTGGTCCTGCGAGGGGTGGGGCCGGCGGGGGGTACCTTGGCCCAGAAGCTGTGCAGGATGTGAAAGTTGGAAGGCAAAGTCAACGCTGGAGCTAGGAAAAAGCCCAAGTGTGAAGTAGTTTTCTAGGAGTTCAGAAGAAAGTGAAGTTTGGCAGTTTGGGCTACGGGCCGCAGGCCCGGTCCGTCCTTCACTGCCATGGTGGTTTTGGGCCCTGCGGACAGGGGTCCTTGGCCCAGAGCTGTGCAGCGATGCAAAAGCTTGGGCAGCACAAGTCAGAGGCTTGGAGGCTAGTTTTCAGTCGGTTCAGTAAAAGTTAGTGACGTTTGGCAGTTTGGGCTACGGGCCGCAGGCCCGGTCCGTCCTTCACTGCCATGTGTTTTGGCCCTGCGAGGGGGTCCTTGGCCCAGTGCTGTGCAGGATGAAAGCTGGCAGGCAAAGTCAAGGCTTGGAGCTAGAAAAAGCAAGGTTTGAAGCTCGTTTCTAGGCAGTTCAAAAAGTGACGTTTGGCAGTTTGGGCTACGGGCCGCAGGCCCGGTCCGTCCTTCACTGCCATGGTGTTTTGGCCTTGCGAGGGGGTCCTGGGCCCAGAGCTGTGCAGGATGTGAAAGTTGGCATGCAAAGTCAAGGCTTGGAGCTAGAAAAAGCAAGGTTTGAAGCTAGTTTCTAGGCAATTCAGAAAGTGACGTTTGGCAGTTTGGGCTACGGGCCGCAGGCCCGGTCCGTCCTTCACTGCCATGGTGTTTTGGTCCTGCGAGGGGGTCCCTGGCCCAGTGCTGTGCAGGATGTGAAAGTTGGCAGGCAAAATCAACGCTTGGAGCTAGAAAAAGCAAAGTTTGAAGCTAGTTTCTAGGCAGTTCAGAAAGTGACGTTTGGCAGTTTGGGCTACGGGCCGCAGGCCCGGTCCGTCCTTCACTGCCATGGTGTTTTGGCCCTGCGAGGGGTCCTTGGCCCAGAGCTGTGCAGGATGAAAGCTGGCAGGCAAAGTCAAGGCTTGGCGCTAGTTTCTAGTCGGTTCAGAAAGTGACGTTTGGCAGTTTGGGCTACGGGCCGCAGGCCCGGTCCGTCCTTCACTGCCATGGTGTTTTGGCCCTGCGAGGGGGTCCTTGGCCCAGAGCTGTGCAGGATGAAAGCTGGCAGGCAAAGTCAAGGCTTGGAGCTAGTTTCTAGTCGGTTCTTCAGAAAGTGACGTTGGCAGTTTGGCTTCGGGCCGCGGCCAGGTTTCCGTCTTCACTGCCATGGGGTTTTGGCCCTGCGAGGGGGGGTCCTTGCCCCCGCCCCCCAGAGCTGTGCAGGAGGTGAAAGGTTGGCAGGCAAAAGTCAAGGCTGGAGCTAGCAAAATATTAGCAAGGGTTTGAAGCTGGTTCTACGCAAAATTCGAAGTGACGTTTGGCAGTTTGGGCTAACGGGCCGCAGGGGCCGGTCCGTCCTTCAGCTGCCATTGTATTTGGGCCCTGCGAGGGGGTCCTTGGCCCGGAGCTGTGCAGGATGAAAGCTGGCAGGCAAAGTCAAGGCTTGGAGCTAGAAAAAGCCAGGTTTGAAGCTAGTTTCTAGGCAGTTCAAAAAGTGACGTTTGGCAGTTTGGGCTACGGGCCGCAGGCCCGGTCCGTCCTTCACTGCCATGGTGTTTTGGCCTTGCGAGGGGGTCCTGGCCCCAGAGCTGCGCAGGATGTGAAAGTTGGCAGGCAAAGTCAAGGCTTGGAGCTAGAAAAAGCAAGGTTTGAAGCTAGTTTCTAGGCAATTCAGAAAGTGACGTTTGGCAGTTTGGGCTACGGGGCGCAGGCCCGGTCCGTCCTTCACTGCCATGGTGTTTTGGTCCTGCGAGGGGGTCCTTGGCCCAGTGCTGTGCAGGATGTGAAAGTTGGCAGGCAAAGTCAACGCT